AACATGGTACAAATGGAAGCAAGTAAAAAGTCACATTTTGGAGCAACCATGACTTCACAGTTATCAGCAACACAAAGCTCTAAGATAACTGGATAAGGCATGGAAGGAAAGCTAGAGAATAATAATAAAAACCTTTAAAACAAAAATTTCCCAAGAGCTGGGACTAGAAGCAAGTCCCAATTTCCACTTAAATCATAAAGTGTTTGATGCCGGGGTAGTTAAGAAGCCAGCCTCTTATGTTAGAATAAAGCATTTTTCTTAAGAGAAATCTATTATATTTCATTCCCATTTGTACGGCTATGGCATGCATCCAAGTCATGGACAAGTTCACAGAAAGGAATTAGAAGGCAGAGTCAAAAACTAAGCACCAGATTAATTCTTCCATCTCTGTAAGCATGCCACCAGCTACAGCTGGGTGAAAACCGTCAGCACACTGGAAAGATGTTGCAGCATGCAAGCCAGAGGAGATATTGGGTCCACGGGAATCAAATACAGTAAATCAGGGGTTACTATTTAAACAAGGCTTAGAATTAGATTGAGCTCAATCAGCCAGTAGGGACCAGGGCTGTGGTGAGACAACTGTGGTCAAGGCACCTGTGTGCTCTCTGAAAGTGCTTCAGTTCGACCATGCCATTTTGCAGGATGCTTGAAGTGCAGTAAGAACAGTGAAGCCAGCAGAGATAAAGCGGAAACGAGTCTCCCTAGCACAGAGTCAGGAGTGTCTCTGCAATTGTCTGTTCATGATTTTATGTTTATAGACCCATATCAGACAAAACACTGAGGTCTTTAATTCTGATTTTAGGCTCCTAATTTATGCCTGATTTCTGAAAATTACATTCTGAAAAACAGAGAAGTATTCTGTTCATTTTGACTCATGGTACCCAAAATTGCTCAAAAAAAAAATCTTTATATTTCCCCCCCTGGAAAATTAGCTTTGGGTAATTATCCTATTATTCATTTTTGGGTTTTGTTGTTGCTTTGTTGTTTTTTTTTTCTCTTAAACCTAGTTGCCTCTGATGGAAGATTTTGCTCCTTCATCAAGACATTCTCACTCAGAAACAAAATATCCCACATTCTGCCACCATGAACAAAAGCAAGGCTGAGCATTGCAGCTCCCAACCACCAAGTCCCACATTACCCACATCCATGAGGGAAGCCTGGAGAAGATCTCAGGTTTTGCTGTTCCTCTAATGCACTTCATTTTGCGTTTCGTATCTTCACACATAGCCAATTCCCAAATGGTCAAACGGGTCACACAAAGGAAACTGAGTACTAAAATAAGTTTCCCATCTGACATAGCTGTGCACCTTATGAAAACACATTCCACAGGCAGGCTAGTCACAGCAAAGAGGACAGTGTCTTGTTAAATGTTTTAGAAGCATATCATCTTCCTAGCTTCTAAGTGGGAAATTGTGTCTATAACTTTAATATTATTCCATGTATTGTCATCATCCACTGCTGATTTTTGTCTGCAAAATCTTTCAGAAAACCTCGTGGGTCATGAACAGCATCTGTAAATTATTTTTAGGTACAGATGTGCCTGGGTTGATCCTAGCTGGGGGGCCTAGACAGCAGTGGCCTACACAGGCAGAGATGGAGGAGCTCCTGCGAGAGGGCAGCAAGCAGAATGGTAACCCCAAAGTGCTGTTCACCCCAGGGAATTACAAAGAAAGATGGGCATTGCTCCATGGGGAGATGTGCTTGACTCTGGTGAGCAGAAGAATAAATAATGCACCCAAGGAAGACACTCATCTTCTGAGATACTCTAATCAGCCATGGCCACATGTGCTCAGTGTCCTTGGAACTGCTGAGATCAGCGGGGCCCACCACACCACTGGGCATGCCTTGAAATAGAGTGGAAATGAGCTAAAGGGCAGATTCCCCAGGACCAGTCCACCCACCCCTGTCATCCATCCCCGGTAGTATGTCACGTTGATTTTACCTCCTCCAGTGTTCTCCACCTACATCTTTATCTCCACTCAACTTTCATACTGAAATTCCCTTCCCAAATCCCCAAAGTCTGTGCTCCCTGGTATGTGTATGGATATGAAGGCATGGAAAAGTTCTGCTGACACCTTCACAGTGTACTGCTCTCTCTTCAGCCCAGAATCCCATTCAAAAAGTGCTTCATGTTTGTCTCCCTTCATAAATTTTCTTGTTACCTTTTCTCACTGGCTTTACTATTTCTCTTCCTGCTCTCTGCTGCCTCAGCTAGGACTTCTGGGATCTCTGAATGCACAAAAAGAGAAAGAGACACATGCTTCTTCATCTCAGCCACAAACTCAAAAGCAAATGTTAATGTCTCTGCTTGCCATGATTAAATTTAGTCTTATTTTTAATTGTAGCTTCATATCCTGTCTGGTCTTCATATTTAGAAGCCAGTTAGCAATGACTGGACAGAAGAACCTGTAACCTGTTTCAGCAAAAAGGCTATTAGCTTTACAGCTCTGGTATATATAGGTAACATCTGGGGAGTTAATGACCTGTAGTTGTTAAAATTAATTTCCTTTTTGTTCTTTTCTCTCTTGGTTTCTCTCACCACATTTATTTTCTTCTATACCTTCCTCTTAACTCCCCTCTTACCTTTCTGAGTTTTGTTCTAGATTAATTTTTCTGAAGCTCTTAAAAAAGTCAGTGACTTGCAAGTATTTTTCTCTGTAAAGGTCACAGAGTCTTTCCCACTGGACTGTTCCTTTAAAAAGAGACAACTTGTGTTCATCTGACACCCCAGCAGACAGTAACAGATAAGAACATGCACAATTGGAGCCTGGGCACCCTCCCAGTGGGCTGTGCACACACATCCCTGGGAGCCAGCTGCCATCTCTCACGCCTTGGACATCTGCTCCATTTATGTGCAGAGTTTGTGATAAACTGAAGTCCCCCAAAAGACCAAGCTATGGAGCCAACTCCACAGTTTAGTTTAACTTTAGCCATCTTTCTAGGCAGCCTTTTCTTGTCCTGGACCAGTTCAGTGATATCATCTGCATCCTCTGAGGCTGTCATTTCAGCTTCATGGGCTCTGTTTTCCATGCCAAGTTTCCACTTAAAACTCAGCTCTTGACCACCTTTAAGGCTTCCACAGAATTCCACAAGAAGCTGGTCACTGATTTAAGCTCCCACTCACAGAAACCACATTCTCAAACCTATTTAGCATGATGCAATGCCTGTAAACTCTCCAAAGATTTAAAGACAGTAAGAACACCATTACAAGAATAAGGCATACTATATAAGATATACAGGGGTATACAAGATATATAAGGGGCATATAAGATATATAAGGGTATATCAAGGACTCTGTTCATCAGTCCCATTCAAGAGTAATGGGGTGAATATTAACAGCAGAGGCTTCAGGGGCATTTTATGTTTGAATGCTGGTGAAAGAGCAACTCCTCTCTCTTTCTGCCTAATGAATCATAGAATCATAGAATCATAGAATAGTTAGGGTTGGAAAGGACCTTAAGATCATCAAGTTCCAACCCCCCTGCCGTGGGCAGGGATACCTTACGCTAAATCATATCACCCAAGGCCTCGTCCAACCTGGTCTTGAACACTGCCAGGGATGGAGCATTCACAACCTCCCTGGGCAACCCATTCCAGTGCCTCACCACCCTAACAGGAAAGAATTTCCTCCTTATATCCAATCTAAACTTCCCCTGTTTAAGTTTTAACCGGTTACCCCTTGTCCTATCACTACAGTCTCTAATGAAAAGTCCCTCTCCAGCATCCCTATAGGCCCCCTTCAGATACTGGAAGGCTGCTATGAGGTCTCCACGCAGCCTTCTTTTCTCCAGGCTCAAAATGGAACTGCTTCTACAGGAGAGACTTAATAGCTTGGTACACTGAATAGTCACCCAGGATACAAATATCACGGGCTTTAGTTCCTTCCCTGGGCAAGGAAAAGCCCATGTGTTTGAATGTGCAATACCCAGAAGTTCAGTTCGGACCTCTTCTGTCCCAAAAGATGGCTGCAAACACTAGCATATCATTTTTACAAGAGATTCATGACCTCTGAAAACAAGCAAAGCAAAAAATCCCAGGCCATTCTGTATTCCATTAGTCTTTGGCAGTTAGGAGATGAGGGGAACTGCAGAAAGACTATATAAATATAGTTATATAAAACAATTGTTCTACAAACTCATAATTTTACTGTTATAGCTACACACATTTTAATTAAAAATACTGGCAATTCCTGCCAGCTCCCAGCTATTTCTGCAGCCAGGCATTAGCAACAGCTGGATCCAGGAAGCATTTCACAGGCAGTTTTTGGATGCTTTGTGCCTCCCCAGTCATACACAGAGCATGAGAATGTACCAGCCTTGTGAGACCTCAGACACTGCTACTCTTGTGCATTTCCCCAAAAGCATTTGAAAGGTACAAGTCTCATTCTGCATCAGACCAAAGCCAAATGTCAAAAACTGCTGACAAAGAGTAATGTTCTCTGCTGCACAACCATAGCTCTGGTACCCTCTCCTGTACAACGATGTTGAATTTTGTTTTGGGAGGTCCATAAAAATTGATAAGTGAAAACATAAAATGGACAGATAAAGCTGTAAAACAAACCACCAAAAAAAAAGCAGAGCCATAAGGAATCAATCACTTTATTCTTTCCATAATTGTGACCACAATAATAAGCAACAATGAAGTACTGGAGCCATTAAATTAATCATGAAATATTTGTGAGGTTCAATTTTACTGACATGTTTAATTTCATTGTAACTTTTCTATACTGAAGTCAAAAATGGGGGGGGGGGGTGGAGGGAAGCTTAGGATTTCTGAATACAGAGCTGAAATCTCTTCCCTCCAGCTTGCAGGAGAGAAAATGCGGTAGACTGATCTCTGCTCTGCTCAACTGCGAAATGTCAGTGGTTAGGTACCTGTGTGTAAATGCCTGTGTGAGCAAAACTGTGGGTCCAGTTCCTACAAATAACTGCACACAGGGTCTGGAGAAGCTTGAGCACTTATGCTGCACCACCCACTATGGGCTGTTTATGTGCATGAGTTATTCTAGGTTTAAAGAGCTTTAGCCAACCAGTCCAGACCATCAGAGTAGCTTTTAGCTGCCCAGTTTCGTGTGACAAATCATCAATAGTGAATTCCCAGTGTGAAAAGTCTGTGACCGGTTTTTGGCTTTAAACTCCCTCCTCAGAGATGCCTCAAAATACCGCTGATTAAAACATTGGCAGAAATCCAGTGTTTCAGGAGTGATCTGGAAGCAGAGTAAAAAAAAAATAAATAGAGCAAGTGACTAGTTTGCTTGTGTGATTTCAAACACATTATTAAAGATCATTTAACAATCTCACTGTAGCAAAAGACCTAAAATCTGCAGAAGGGGCTGGTGGTCTGCAGAGAAGGGATAAAACCCCATCCCGCAGAAATCCAGGACTTGCAGGCAGTTGCACAAGGGAGCTGGGGTTCAAATCTCTTAGCACACTTTTGTTCAGCGAGGCTTTCTCACAGACATAAGCTCCACTGCAACTGCCTTTGAAGTCCTATGCACACCTGTGTAGATTACAAAGAAGGGAAGGCAGGTCCCTCCACACCCAAACTGTAAATTAACAATGCAACATGTCAAGTTAAGATATGCCCTCCAGCACCTTGTTTTAAAGGCAGACAGACCAATGGCTGACAATCTCCTGATACTCTTAACCCTTTCCCTGGAATTCACATCCAGTTTCCAGCCTCCTGAAAGAAGAAACAAATGTAGAGAAGTGACTGTGATTTTAAAAAAAGTTATATACCAGTTCAAACCTGGGCCATCTGCTTTAATCCAAGACAGAAACTGAATCATAACCTGTGGGGTTTTTTTCTGCACAAAACAGAAGAAAGTTGCCACTGTACCAATTTGGTTTCTGCAGAGTGCCTTGTACAGCAATAGTTTTGGCCTGCGAATGTCACTGGTTGAAGACAACCAGCCTTTGTATTTCCATTTCACCTGCTACTCCTGGAAGAACTCCCTGCTATGGGTAGATCATGGCAATTACCATGTTTTTTTCTCCAAAACCCTTCAGGAGGCTCTGCTTTTCCACCAGAGAAGTATGTCACCAGTAACTATAGTTTTGAAAGGACTTTTAACTGATCCAAGAACAAGTATACTCACCCAAACTGCAAGACTTCCTAGTCCTATTGCCATCTCTTTCCTTACCTCCTCCACTTTGTCATGGTGGGCCACTACTCACACTCATCATGTTGCATCACTTCATATCCAGTGATGGGTTACAACTAATTCTTGTGCTACCTGTAATGCTAGCGCTCCCCTGATCTAACGTCCTCTTGACTCTATCTCATTGTGTGGCTCCTACAGCTGTCGGGAGCAAACCTGTGAGGAAAGGGAAGGGAAAACACAATGAGTGTATGAAAAAGAATAAGGAAAAGACAGAGCTGATTAATAACAGCAATGTAAAGGAGCACCACTGCAATGCATTATGGCATCTTTACTGGTTTTATGAGAATCTTGAATTCCAAGCTGCTTCTCCACCCAAGGAATTCTGAATTCAGGTGTAGATTTTTTGGGTTTGGGTATTTTTTTTGACTCCTACAATTACACAGCAGACATAACTGGAATAGTCAGTGCAGTACATCATTCTGTAGCACCCTGAAATGTTGTCACTGTTGGGGAGCAGATAATGTAGGGAAATGTGACCAGATTTTATTTTTTGCAACAAAGATGAGTGGGCAGCCCCCTAGGTCAAGTTGGGACTTATCACACACATCCCACCAGCCCAGGAGAAATCAAGTTACAAGAAAGAAAGGAGGTCCCACACCCAGGCTGTGAGATCAAAATGAAAAGGGCCCAGATAGGGTCCATTCAGTATCTAGATTAAAAGACATTAAGTCAATTACTTACTGCCTGATAAATTTCTAAAAACAACAAAGCTTCCTCTGAGATGGCAAGATGGGGAATGACATTCCAGATGGTTCCAGTGAATTGAGGCTATCAGTTGCCCTTCACAGAGAGTTAAGTGGATTTTTAGTTCTTTTAATGAGCACATCTTCAACCTGACAACAGATCAGCGCACATAGATTCAAAATAAAATTTAAGATGAATGAATATATGTGTGTTTGAAGAACAGAATAGAATTAATGCTATCAGCAGTGCCCAAATGCACTTGATCAAAAAACTACTTCTAAAAAATATGTCAAATAATGCCAGCACCTGACTTTAATTGGCTTATTTTCCCTCATTTCTGCTGTTTTGCTTCTCACCTTTTATCTCAAGAGCCCTCTATCATCAGCATCTAAAGAATCCACATCTCCAAACTCCCTCAATAATAGAATATAGTGTATTAGCCATAATAATCACAACACCAAAATGGCTGACTGCCCTGATATTGATTTTCTCCTGTTAGTAGCACAGAGAGTGCAACAAACACATAAAAATGGATTACTTTCATTTCAAAGGAAAGGGCAACTTGATCTAATCCAACGAGCGAGTGAAAATAGCATTAAGGAGTGTCTCACTTATTGTAATTCACTGAATTCATACCACTTCAGCTTAGCTTGAAGAGAAATAAAGACCCTTCTAATAGTATTGGGGAATTTGAACTTTTGGGAGGAGAGGTAATCAGCCCTCCCCTGAGTTAACCTAAAGGACAAGAGTACCAATACACTCAGTAAAGAGCTATCTCATTAATTCTGTGAAATATTGACATATAAACTGAGCAAAGTGTAATTACTTGCCCTTGAAGGCCATTGCAAGTAAGGGCTTGGAGTTCCTCCTGCCAAGAGTTCATGCTCCCTTCAAGTATATCATGAATCTAATTGACCTGGTATCTCAGATGTATAAAGCTAACTAGTTTTTGTAGAACCACGGCTCAGAGGAGGAAATAATACCCTGACTGTGTCCAGGTGACCGGGCTCCTAAACCTCCTTACTTCCACTTTTGCTCTTCAGCCAAACTTCCACCCCCTCTCATCCTTTCAGATATAAACTCTCCAGTGTTTTAAAAACTTCTCCTATTACAGGGACCCTTAGAAACCAATTCACAGGTGCCCCCATTGTCTACAAACACCGCCATACTGTGATTTAGTCACTGGTCAAATCTCATTCAGCTGCCTCCAGAAACTGTTCATGCGCACAATGGCCGAGTGGGGGGCACTCACACCCCTTCCTTCATACACAAACAGAATTACCTTCCCACTCATCTTGTTCTTCTGTGAGCGCACCTGACTGTGTAGCCAGCAGTTGCTGTAGAGAGTACTGAATATTTTTCCTGTTATTGCTCATTAGTATTGCACAGGCACCTGCATGCCCTGGCTTACATCTGGACTTACCTGGCCAAGGATAGACAAACAGCGAGGGACAGTGCCTGCCTGCAAAGCCTGAAATCTAAACACACAGCCCAAACAAAGGCTGAGCTCCCATTTCTGTCTGACAGGTGGGAGAAGGTGCCACCTCTCCCATGACGATCACATCCCCTTCCTTCCTGCAGTGAGAGTGAGGCTGTTCAGCAGGAAGCCCCATCTCCTCTGGCAAGAAGAAATCCCACTTTCCTTGGGGATCTCCCACGATATACCTAGGAATTTCTTGCTGTATATCTCCCATACTCACCAAGGGTTGACCCCTGACACACCATGCACACACACAGCCCCTTCCAAATCATTGGAGCCCATGTAAATCTATGTACTCATCTATACATGCACAAACACGCAGACAAGGCGCTCTACCTACCCCAACACACCTAGGAAGACCTAGGACTGCCCACTTTGCCCTTGGGCAACCTAATTTCATCACATGCTGCACCTCAGCCCGGAACTGCATTCGCATACAGGTCCCCCAGGAGCTGCTTCTCAAAGGCACCCACAGGGGCTTTTCCTCCCACTGCTTCATGATCTGATTCATGCTCTGTGTTGCGTGACATGACACACACCCTTGAATTCACCCATGTTATATTTAATACTGGAAACAGTCCAATTTCCTCAGGCTCACATGTACAATGAGGTGATGAGCTTCCCTGTGTTGTTGTTCATGGTGGCACCACACCATTTGAGGTCACCATGCAAGCTTTGCCTCACAAGTGACTCCCCATTTAGGGCAGGATCAAGTGTCCACTTCTAGCAGCATCCCACCTAAGTCTGGCTCTGCTAGACTCGCAGACAGCCTGCCAATCAGTCCACTAAATTCAAGAAGAAAACAAAGTGTAGTAGTAGATATGAATGAGGAACAGAACCAGAAAAGCCTTTACCTTTGGGTTCTTGGTGGTACTCCTGAGTCCTGAGAGCAGGCTCATACCAGGTGCTCTGAAGATGGGTCACAGGAGGATGCAAACATAAATTGACAAATAATTAGGGTTAGCTAAGCACAACTTCAGAATTTCTTTTCAGAGGATAAAACTGTGACTGCTGTTAAATGGAGATGCCCTTAAGGAAAGAAAATTAAATTAATTTAATAGTCAGGCTGCCATAACCCTTTCTCTGGGATTTCCCAGATGGAGATATGTGTAAATGAGCTCTATAGACCATGTGTTACAAACCCAGCATTTCAGGAAGCATCCAGACTGACTCTGCACAGTTCTGTGTATGTTCAGTAGATCTGAGAGTATGTATGCTTGCCTTCATTGAATAACATGAGTGAGCATGGCAAAGCCACAATCCTGGGCACTCCAGACTTACCATACTATCATTTACACAAGCAGAACAAAACTGTCGGAAATCCCCAGGACTTTCAGGCTGGCTGTGCACATGCCAGGTAGCTAATCTGTGCTCAGCAGGGCTACCCACTGGCTAGAAAACCTGGGCCAGCATAAAAAACCTAAGGCTCTGCCTATAAGACATGTCTGCAAGGAAAACAAGACATCCCTAGGAGTACTCAGATGTGTGGGGCTCTGTGTTAATCACAATGGCAACAAGAGCTTGCTTTGGTCCACCTCATCTCCGACAGACAGAGGCTTAGATGCCTGACAGAAGCAGATTCCAGACAGAGCCCATGCCTGGTGTCATCATTTGGAAGGTTGTGTTTGTTTGTACTAGCCCATCAACAAACAGATGAGGATCCCATGCAATGCTAATTATATACTACAGGTACATGTTAAGCCATTTTATAGACAGTTGTGTGCCTTTATAATTTAAAGGGACAAGTGCAGTGAGTTACATGTAAATGAGGTCTGGCTTAGTGTCACAGCATCTATAATACACAAGAAAGGCAAATAAACTAGGGAGCCTTTTCTCCTCTGCATTACTGCACAGGAGGTAGGCAAAGTGCTGAGGCTGGTATTGCCTGCTGGTGGGGAAGCAGTGGCTTGTTAGCACAGCTAGAGGCACTGGGAACCCTAAGGGAGAACATATCTGCCAGGAATGGGATGTAGCAGAGGCCTCTCCCTGCCAAACCCCAGCCAGGAGGCTGGGATGGGCACTGGAGGGAGTACCTACAGCAGCCCTGGAGGGAGGCAAAGGCTGCACCCAAGCCCTCCTCTCCATAATCCCATAGGCCAGCTTCCCACCCAGCACCAGTGCCTGCTGCTCAGAGCATAAACCCAAAAAGAAATGCACATGAAGGGAAAACCAAGAAAAGTAGGGAAATGGCTAGGGAAATAAAGCTCACTATACCCCTGGCCAAGTTCCCAGAGCTATGCAGTTTTCTAGGATGTATCACCTGGGATACTGCAGCATAAACAAAAAATAAACAGGCATTTACCTACTGCAGTGCAACTTCAGTAGCGATGCTCAATCGCTAAGGCAAAAGACTGACAGGATTTTTAAAAGGACCTGAACCTGTCTTGAACAGTGAAGGATCCAGAATTGCATTAGATAAGAGCCTTCTTAGAAACTGGATGGTTGTACACTCACCTCATGTCACAAGACAACCCATTGCTGATAGAGACAAGGAAGGAATTTTTCCAAGAATCATAGAATCATAGAATGGTTTGGGTTGGAAAAGACTTTAAGATCATCTAGTTCCAACACCCCTGCCATGGACAGGGACACCTCACACTAAACCATGTCATTCAAAGCTCTGTCCAACCTGGCCTTGAACACTGCCAGGGATGGAGCATTTACCACTTCTCTGGGCAACCCGTTCCAGTGCCTCACCATCCTAACAGGAAAGAACTTCTTCCTTATGTTTATCTTGAACTTCCACTGTTTAAGTTTTAACCCATTATCCCTTGTCCTGCCACTACAGTCCCTAATGAAGAGTCCATCCCCAGCATCCTTGCCCCCTTTCTCTTCTCCAGGCTGAACAGCCCCAACTTTCTCAGCCTGTCTTCGTACAGGAGGTACTCCAGGCCCCTGATCGTCCACATTGCCTCCTCTGGACATGCTCCAACAGCTCCACGTCCTTATGTTTAGGACACCAGAACTGCACACAATACTCCAAGTGAGGTCTCACAAGAGCAGAGTAGAGGAGCAGTAGAGGTCACGCTCCTTTTGATGCAGCCCAGCACACGGTTGGCTTTCTGGGCTGCGAGCACACACTGAAGCTGGCTCATGTTCATTTTCTCATCAACCAACACCCCCAAGTCCTTCTCCACAGGGCTGCTCTGAATCTCTTCTCTGCCCAACCTGTAGCTGTGCCTGGGATTGCTCCGACCCAGGTGTAGGACCTTGCACTTGGCATGGTTAAACTTCATAAGGTTGGCATCAGCCCACCTCACAAGCGTGTCAAGGTCCCTCTGGATGGCATTCCTTCCATCCAGGTATCAACCGAACCACACAGCTTGGTGTCATTGGCAAACTTGCTGAGGGCGCACTCAATCCCACTGTCCATGTCAGTGATGAAGATGTTGGATGAGACCAGTCCCAACACCGATCCCTGAGGGACACCACTCATTACTGGTCTCCAGCTGGACATTGAGCCATTGACCACAACTCTTTGTGTGTGGCCATCCAGCCAGTTCTTTATCCACCGAGTGGTCCATCCATCAAATTGATGTCTCCAATTTAGAGACAAGGATGTTGTGTGGGACAGTGTCAAACGCTTTACACAAGTTCAGGTAGATGACATCAACTGCTCTACCCCTGTCCATCAGTTCTGTAGCCCCATCATGGAAGGCCACCAAACTGGTCAGGCAGGATTTCCCCTTAGGGAAGCCATGCTGGCTGTCACCAAGCACCTTGTTGTCTTTCATGTGCCCTAGCATGGTTTCCAGTAGAATCTGCTTCATGATCCTGCCAGGCACAGAGGTGAGACTGACTGGTCTGTAGTTCCCTGGGTCTTCTATTTTCCCCTTCTTGAAAATGGGGGTTATATTTCCCTTTTTCCAGTCGTTGGGAACTTCACCTCACTGCCATGATTTTTAAAATATGATGGAAGAGATGATGCTGGTTTTCTCATGAGTCCATTCTTCCAAATTCTCCCCTCTTTCTACATTCATATTAGTCATATCTGAAAATAGGAAACTGAACCAAAACCTATGTGTTTTCTTTATTAGTTCTGATGCCTATCTGGGGGGGGTAGGGAAAGTAGAGGGTGTGACATGACAGAGGCCCGAGATTTTTAACTCTGCTGACTTTCACGGAGGTATCCTGATTTGCACCTACAATGTGCTTGATCACCTTTTGGCAAGGTTTTCTTTCCACCGACACCACCTTGCCACAGCTGGCAGTAACTAGTGAGGCTGAGGACAATTCCTACAATGGCACAGGTGCCTGCTGGAGCAAATCACCAGTTCCCCCTTCAGGTAGACATTGCTGATCAGCAGTAAACAAATTGGCAGAGCATCAGGAAAACGCCATCTTTGGAAAAGATTAAATTTCAATTTCTAAACTGACCCATCCATAAACCTGAATGAATTTATGTAAAAGGAAGAGACCTCTGGAAATCCAGAAAAAGCAGTGTCAGATGGGGGAGGCATTCACTGCGTGTTAGAACTGCAGGCAGACATGGTACAGGAGGTGTTTCACAAAGCAGACATGGCTGTTAAAAGGACCACACTTCTCCCAGTGCTTTACTCGATGAGAAAGCCCTAAGTTAAGAGCCACTTGCTGGAGAAGCCACCCTTCCTCCCTGCTTTCCTTCAGACCAGAGATACCTCCCGGGATTAGATCATCCCCTTGGTGTCAGGCTGCAGAGCTTGGTTGCCAGCCATGGGTGGGTGTGTTATTAGCCAGATTTACATGTCTAAAACATCATTTGTGCAAACACTCCAGGGCATGGCTATGAATGTGCATGGAACACAAATCTGAAAAAGAAGTTCAATAAGTAGAAAAAGTAGTGTTCAAGTTGAAGCAGCCATACAAGTAGGTCAAATCTACTCACAGCAATTATATCGGCCAATATAATTTCTCACCAAATTTACTGCAGAATGTGTTTTGTTATTGAATGCTTCTTTCAGTCATTTTCATGCTGCTCTGCCCAATGCAGCATGTGCTCAGTATGTATCTCTAAAAAGTAAAAAATTAAGTTGTAGAGTCCCACACAAGGGGCACATCTCCAGATTTTGCCCTATAGCCATTAAATCAAAGGAATTTCACAAGCTATGACCATATAGAATAGTTACTAAGCTGCCTAACTTGGGGCTTGCAGGCTGTCACTCTGTCTTTGTTCAAAGCACCTCGCTCTGCAGCACTGGGATGCTACTGTCCCCACAGAGTAGCAAAAAACCAGAAGGCACTCCAGACACAGACTTTAAAATATGAAGCCAATCTCAGGGGAATGTAACATTACAAGCAGCTGACAAGGCATAAAAACATACTGCAAGCCTGGTTTCAACACAGGAAAAAAAAAAAAAAAAAAAAGGAATGTATTTTAAAGGATCCTACTCACACTTTTCATTACCAAGACAAAATCAATGGCCACAGTCAAATGTTGTTTGGAAAACCACGCACAAGGCTGGTGGAAAGCAATTTGGAGTCATATCAATACCACACTATTGGAAGTGAAGGAGCAAAACAGCTGAACTGAAATGGTGGTTGAAATCTATCCTAGTATCTGGCTGGATCCAGATCAGTTGTCAAGAGAGGAGCTGTGTTTCCATCCTCCTGCAGCACTGGGGAGGAATAAGGTGCTAAACTGCAGCTTTCAAGGGGAGAAGGGGAAATACTGTGGAATTCAGAAAAAGAGTCCAGAATAAGGAAAGTTTCAGAAGGCTTTTGGGACACTGGGCTGGAAATTTCACTTCAGATCTCTGGCTGGTTCGCTGCACCCATTTGCACACGCCTACTTCTTAATGTCTATGTGCTCTACAGCCCCGTCTGCCGCAAGAAACGAGTAACTGAGCTACTCACATGCTGCCCAGGTAACCAGGCCATCACTGTCTTGTAATCCTAGGCTTTTTGCAGCCCAATTTACCTGATTGCATCGCTTTTGTTCACATTAAGTGTTCATTGTGAAACACTCTTAAGACAGGAAAAACTAGATAACAAGGGAAGAGCTCCTCTGTGGAGATTGCCACAGATGATGCTGTTTTAATCATTCAAGAGATCAGCACAACACCCAAAATGACCAAAAACTTCCCTGAAATGTCCTAAGCATGCCATCATTTTTCACACTAAGGTGTGCAAGGAATAATAAACCAAATTTATTTCAGTATGGATCCATAAAACGTACACAGAGAATCCAAAGCAGGACACACACCCCAACATCCCTGGGAAAATCACAAGTAACAAGAGCCAGATTTTTAAAAACTCTCTTGGAATAAATGGATTTACATGAAAAAAAAAAAAAAAAGATTTAAAACAAGTCAGGGGAGTGGTGGGCACACCTGCTAAATTACTCAGATATGGTC